GCAAGCCGGTAGAGCCGCAACCTTGCTCCGCAGCAAACGGGGCCGGAAGGGCCTCGCCCAGAATTGGGTGGTTGGGTGGTTGGGTGAATTGGGTGGATGGATGGTGGTTGGGTGGAAGGATGGGTGATGGAGATGGATCGAAGGATGATGGGTGAATGGATGATTGGATGGATGATTGGAGGATGGATGATGGTACTTTGCTGCATACGACAAAAAAGCCATGTGTTCTTCCGATACTGGAGTGACAGCACATCGGGAGCCAAAACCCGGTGTCACAGTGCATTTCGTGCTGCAGCCAAGACTTCCAGCATTTTCATCGTTGCATGAACATGTTTTGGTTCCTTCTAGTACGTCATGATTGTGTTATGGTGCACGCCAATTGTTTGATACTATTTTATTGCCGTCGTGTCATGACGTAACTGGACCGATATGAACAAAACAAACGATCTGCATGTTCTTTCACAACATGGAGCCTCATGGTTAGATTGGTGCTATGGCGACTTTTGCAGTCAGTCCGGATCTTATGTGCTGCTGCCCAAACTGATTGTCCGTGGCAGCAGTCCGGGCAGAATATCAGAATACCTTGAGGAACTGAGTGTTGCAAGAGTGCTGGAAACTTAATGATCAAGATCTATGGAAGCCGTGAGGGAATGCTGGTGGAGCACCTGCTGCAGTGCGATGGCCCAGTGTTTCCTTAGTGTTGGCATGCGACTGCCTCTAGACGTTAGCATTCTAGCATCATCTAATCTCTGCTTAGATGATCAGCAAAACTTGTTCGCGAAGAGGCCCTTGCGGCGGCGCAAGCTGCAGAAATCGCAGCAAGGTCACCATGCTTGCTTCTGTTTGCTTCCGAGAGTCTTACTTAGTTTCGATCGTTCGAACCGTGAAGAATGTCAGCGCTTGCGTCTTGTGGGAGGCTTGGTGCCAGAATGGGTGAACCCGTCACTCATCTGCAACTTGAATGACTTTTTGTGGGCGGTGCTTCTTTGCTGCTGTCGGTTGTATGTTCATACATGCACAGTCCTGGCCAGCAAGCAAACCCTGTCCTGAGTAGCTGCGTGATCGTTTGTGCAGGCAGAGAAGCTCAACAAGGGCGCGCTGCAAGGCAGGTTGTGGTTTTTCAACAGAACAGAGTCACCGGCACAAGGGGGCCCCGTCGGAAAAACACTGCCCGCACGTTACCGCTTCTGCGTGATCTCTTCTAGTGTACCAGGAATGCTCGCAACTGCACTTGGATTGCATGATGCATGGATGCAACTTTTGGGAGGTTTCGAATGCCCTAGACGATATCCAGGCCGCCAGAAGAGAGCAAGTGTACCGATGTTAAGCCTGTTGTTTGGCACTTGAGAAATCCATTGCTTCGACACTCTTCATGTTCCAACTGAAAACTGTGCAGAGGCTACTTGCCTGCAGTGCCATCAGAGCCGCTCTCGGGTAGTCTCTTGACTCCCCAGAGCACGAGCCGGGGTGCCCGGTACTGTGTGGAATTTGTCTGTGTATCCCAGTCGACTGTAGCTCTGGGTCTCGCCTTGTTCGCTTTTTCTGTTTCTGTCCGAGTCTTGGTCTTGGTGTCTGTGATGGAGTCAGCTGCAGAGCATGACGCAGGTGTGGGGCAGACCACAGCTGAGGCCCAAGCCCTGTGAGCATTGCCTGGAGAAGTCAACGTGCAGGAACGGACGACAGAGGCTGTATAGAGGGTCTAGCCTGTCGCTCCTTGGGATTTTGCCAGATGTTTGTGATGCTTTCGGGTTTAGCTTGTCTCTCCTTGAGATTTCTCAGTTGTTTCACATGCTTTCCTCATGTTTTCGTATAGCATGTGGCTCAATCCTTATTCGGGTAGAGGGCTTGGGGCAGCCCCTAATGCCTCCAGTACTTCCTGTGCCTTGAGCTCAGCCTTGCATGAGACAATCCTTGGTTTGCTGTGCCTCTTAGCGTCAACCAGGCATTTCGGACTCGTTGACGACGAGCTTCCAAGCTGTTCAAGCCTCGACCCCGACGACGAGGACACTCCACCGTTCAGCGACGGTGCAAAAGTCAAAAGTATAGTGTGCCGATGACGTCTGTTTGCTTCACTTCCTTCAGGACTGGGATTCATTAGCTGGGGCCTCGTCAGTCGTGTGACGGCTGCCATGACCATGGTTTGTAGTTTCAAAAATCATGTTAACAGAAGCTATGAAGAATCGAGTCTGGGAGCTATGGCTTGCTAAGGACACGGCTGAAGGTCCGTCTCAGGCCAGCGGGTTTTGTCATAAAAGCCTTGGGACTAGGCTTTCGGAGCCCGTCCAACAGAGGCAGATGCCACCTCCGAAGAGATTCTAATTCTGATTCCAGTGCCCCAGTACGAACGGAAAACCGACAGAAGCTCGCTGTGACTGTGAGATTGCCCTGCTGCATGCCTTGGGATTGTGGCGGTGTTTCTTTCCTTCATGGTTTTAGTCGCAGGAAAGAGACAACAGCCCGTTGTGTGCTGACTCTCCACAAGATGCCGCAGCCGCAGAATCTGTTTGGCTGCTCTGCGCGATATCAGCCAGACATGGCCTGCTGCTTGCCTCGACAAGGTGGACATTGCACCGATTCCTATAGCACCTGCCTATTTCGAAAGGGTCGATGCGAAGCCAGCCAGTGTCTCAGCTGTTGTTGGCGAGCTGGATTTGCAGGGCCGCAGCTGATGATGGCTGTAGCATGCCAGGCTCAAGGCAGAGCTAGTTCTTCTTTGCAATGTCCCATGCAGCGATTCCTCTCACCGATGATTTTCTCCATGCCTTGTCTTGCCTTGATGTGAGAGACCTTTGCTCCAACGCAGCTGTGTCAATCTCCTGGAATGTGTTGGCCAGCCATGACATGCTATGGCTTGAGCTTTGCAGGCGCCTGTGGTCTACCAAAGCCGGCTGTTTCCATCTGACGCCTGCCCGCCTCATGAAGCTTCAGTCCAAAGGGCACAGCTGGAAGGAACAGTACAGAAAGCATCTGGAGGACGGTTCGAGAAACTGCCTCACCATGCAAGAGATTACGACTTTGGTGTGGGATTTCACTTTCCGACTTCGTCCGGAAGCACGAGCCTCAACGTCCTTCCGTTTTGACATGTCGGGATACGTCTGTGGTCACCCAAATGGCTTAACCTACTCGTGGCGGCTGAGCGATGACGGCCGGCGAGTGGAGCTGGGGCAATTCCCACAAGCAAGAGTCATACGGCGTGCAGACTGGGGTTGGGCAATCGCAAACAGCAACATTGTCTGCTGCTCACTGGAAGACGAAGATTTGACGGGTGAAGGCAGTGAGGGTGCCTCGGTGCTTCATCCGGAGCTTTTCGGTTTGGACCAACTTGGCCCCTCTTTGCAGCTCGTGCACATGCTCATGCGTCTTCAAAGACCACCAGTGGGGTAGAAGGCTCTCCAGGTCATGCCCCCCTCCTGCAGTAGATCACCGCGACACCATCGAGCATGTTCTTCAGACGTCTCTCCACACACCGAAGGTCTCCATCTCGAATCTCGTGCGCCGGACGTCTCTGCTCTCCGAGTCAGGTTTTCGGGGGAAAGAAGCGAAGACGGGAGATGCAAAAGCAGCCTTGTAACACGACGATTTTGTTGTCAGTGGCTGAACCGTAGACCTGGTTAGTGAAACTTCTCGTCAGTATCAGGTGCTGCGATCGAGAGATCCGTCTCCCATGGGAATTAGCCAAAGGTGTGCCTGACAAGTTACAGCTGAAGCATTCGGGTTACGGCTCGTGGCTTGTAGCCCAAAAGATGTGCCAGGACGGTGTCTCGTCCGACCACACCCATGAAAAAGGGCGAGGTGGGAAGAGGGGCCGGGGCCTCGACGGCCTCGAGCCGCGAAGCTGCTCGTAACTTGGGGTCTCGAAAGCCCCTTCCCTGTCCTGCTCTGTTCAGGTTCCCTTCCGCAGGCCCACACCTCCGGTGACACCGAAGGATGTAGACTTCGGCCCTGGCCTTTGAGGGGATGTTGGTTCCGTCATGCTTCGGCAGCTTGCTTCGGTGATCTGCACATCCCAAGGTCCAGCTTGTGACGCACAAGCCAGGATCAGACGAATCATCTCCCGGTCCGAGGTGAAAGCTGGGGGGCCCAGCACTTGACGTGTTTGCTCCTTCCATCTCAGGTGCCTGGAACTGCCCAACAGTGCTGCAACGTGCAGTGTCTGGCTTTAAGGACCCCGATCACGACCCAGTGCCTTCGAGCCCGGCAGCTCCTCCAATGGCCCCGGCCTCGACGGTTCCGGTTGTGCCACCACCTGGGCATGGCGGCCCGCAGATCTTGGAGGACCGGGCCTTGCGCGTGGCGAAGCTTTGTTTTTTTCGAGCGCAGAGTGGAGCTCCTGTGAGGATTCCAGAGGAGCCCTTGGCGAGTCTGACCTGGGGCTTCCAGGTTCTCCGCTTTCCTATCGAATTTGCTGCTTTTTTTTTCGGGATGTGTCTGTGTTCGCACCTGGGCCAGGCACAGTTATGGATCCCATCTTGGAAGATGGAGGCATAGTTGTTGGCACATCGAGGAGCACGAACCCGAGCTTGATCGGTTGGGGCAGCCTTGCTCTCCCGAACCCCTACTCCAAACTCTTTCCATACTTGTTCCTCTCTTTTTCCATCAAGCTTTCTTTAAGGCCGAGCCTCGTCTCGCGCCTCCCGGCGCTCGACCACGGCGCCACGCTCCTCCATGTTCCCGTGGATGGCGAGCCCGTCGGGCTACGGCCTCGGTTTAAGGCTTCTAAGGGCACCCTTTTAATCCGGATCCTGTTTCAAGGTTGTTCTTGGAGTCATGGGTTGTGGAGGGTGCTTTTGGCTTGGCTGCAGACCAACCAGGACAGGAGTTGCGTTTCGAAGTTAGTGGTGGCAACAATCATGAATGCAATGGCAGCATTGCAACAGCAGAACTGAGTTGAGGCAACCTTCTTGAGACTGGAGCAGGTGCGAAACGTTGGCACAGCTGTCCACGAACGCACCTTTCGGCTTAAGATGAGAGGACAGAGCAGCCATGCCACAAACAGCAGTCTGCCTGTCAGCAGCCGTCGGCGAGAGAGGCATTCTCTCCGTTTCGGAAGTACCCGAAGCTGAAAGCTTCAGGCAACCCCCGGAGGCAAGCAACACGCACTCTTCTTGCAGGGGGTCTTGTTGCACGGCCAAGCGAAGGACTTGAACAGCTCTCGCCTAAAATGGCAAGCGCTCCCAAGCCCACGCCGCTGCCGAGCGTCGCAGGCTTCAATGTTCGGAAGCACTTTTGGAGCCAGGCCCAAAGCAGTGTTGAAGCCCGCGCCCGGCAAAAAAAGGGCTGTACCTGTTGGCTCGGCAAAAAAGGGCTGTACCTGTGGGGGGGGGGGGGGGGNNCTCTACTTATGGGGGGGCACCGGCACCGGCAAGACGTTCATGCTGAACATGTTCTACGAAAAGATGTACCAGTCGCCGACCGAATAGAGGGCAGATATGATGACGAGTACTACGCTTGTCCGCTCATCGAAACTTCTCTGGAGAGGGCACTCGAAACTGCACCGCACAAACGAAGCATCGATGAGCGGATAAGTGTAGTACTTGTATTCATACCTGCCCTGTTTGTGGGCGAGCTGCCTTCTCACCCTAAGCTGGCCCCACGCTGCTTCCACATGGAGGGCTTCCGGCTGTGAGGGTGGCAGCTTCAGTTGATTGCAGAGATCACAAGTTCAGGATGCTTGGGTGTTAGTGAAGGGCAGAGGAAGCTACCCCCGCACCGTAAGTTAGGTAAACGCGACTCGAATTCCATGAGCGGATGATTGAAGTCCGCGAGCGGCAACATCAGAAAAAGATGAACAAAGCAAGTGGGGACAGAACTGCCGACGATTTGGTGGAGCAAGTGGCAATCGACATATTCGACGAGTTTCAGATGACACACATCATGGAACGTATCTTCCCTGCGCCCTTCGAGTTGGGCGCAGTCCTCCGCAGCACTTGTACCTGAACCGTCTCAATCGGCCTCTTTTCCTGCCATCCTTTCCTATGCTTGAAGACTTTTACGATTGCATGACATCGGCGAAGGGGTGGTCTGCCGAATGACCTCCACATGCGATGGGGAGGACGACCGAGTTGACATCCCACCGCAGGGACCTGCCGAGCAGAACGTCCAGGAGTAAAGTTTGCCATAATCCTTGGACCCTTTTTGCAAAAGAAGAGATTTGAGTTCACGCCAGCAATGCCCCGAACACCGTAAAACCGAAACCCGCGTACTCGTAAAAACCCGACATTGTGCTTGATGCTTTGAATTGTCTGGTAGAGGCAAGGGGAAGTTCCGTGCCGGCATGCAGGCGGAGATTTCGCCTTCTCTTGTGTGATTTTGGCAGGTGTTTTCGTTTGTCTTTTCACCCGAGCCCTGTTAGCACTGTTAGCACTGCCTTAGCTCAGGCCAGTTGCTTCATGTAGATGCATTCGTCGGGATACATCAGATTCTGATGTACATCAGATGAATCATGCTGATCGGCTGGCTCGGGCAAAAGTGTGCGAAAGGAATCATCCAGGGTTGCACTGTCTTGCGTGGCATCGAGATAGCATCATTGCAGAAACTGACGAACGTACCGGTGAGTGTGCCAAGCAAGGCTGTACGGTGATACTTGTAGCTGCAGTGTTTGCAATGTCGTGATATCGGCAATCGTGGGAATAATGACAGGAATGCTGAAGATTTGGCACCAGCAGTCAATGGCATCGGTAATCGTGGAAGCAAGAGTGATCATGAACCTGTTTTGGCCAAGGCTTGCGTGACATTGACGAAGGCCAGGCTTCTCCATAACTTCACTCCTCTTCTTGAGCTCCTCCTGGTTTCAAGACTTTCACTTTTGCTGCTGGATTCAGGGTCTGTTCCTTGGCTGCAGGCATACCTATATCTGCCACCGGACCTCGGTATGCGGGCACACCTGCCCAGGCAAGGAGAGGAGAGGTTTGGATTGCGACGAAGCGCAAGTCCTCGTGTTTCAGGCAGCAGAAGCCTTGCTCAACGGAGTGTCCGAGGCCAGTGCCCAGGAGGGCACGGAGACGGAATTGAAGTTGTGCTCAGTGCTTGGTAATGGAGCACTTGTCGCGGGCCGTGCGATTCAGGGTGCTGGCCTTTCTATATTTTCAGATTCAATCAGCTGCCAGGCAGTGCATTCTCCGTTTTCTGCTGCTCCGGATGCTAGAGGAGCGGCTGCCAAGGCACCGTGCCGCTACACAAGGAAAAACGTTCCCAGAGGTGTCCAAATCCGGTCATTGCCAGGCCTCAATGCCGAGACATGTGGCTTGTATACGAAAGCAAGTTCTCGCTTCCAGGCCTGGGAAACTAAAGGGCGCTATGGAAGATGCTTGGATACATATATATATATATATGTCGATAAATATATAAATATAAATATAAAGAGAGAGAGAGAGAGAGAGATATATATATATGTATATATACGTATATATGTATTCATATGTGTAAACAGATACATACACACATATACATATGTATCTATGCATATGCACACACACACACGTGTACACACACACACACACCTACCTACCTACCTACCTACCTACCTGCCTGCCTGCCTGCCTACCTACCTACCTACCTACCTTCCTGCCTTCCTACCTACCTACCTACCTACCTACCTACCTACCGTCGCTGCCTACCGTCCTTCCCTGCCTATGCCTACGCCTACCTACGTACATGATCCTACATGCATACATACACACATCCACATGCATGCATGCATGCATGCATGCATACGTACATACATATATACATAGAAAGGCAGAGACATGCAGACATACCGACAGCCAGACATACAGACACACTGACATACAGGCACAAATGCATGGATACGTCACGTACGTATATGCACATAAGCACATATACAAAAGATGCATACAGAAGGGAGGAACCCCAATGTCGCTTCAAAACAATACCTGTGCCTACCTTGCCAAGCTCATCCTGTTCCTGAGGCAGGAAGTATTGAATTGGTCGGGAGCCCGGTTGGAATCTGGAACCGATTATTGGGCAGCCTGTATCTTGCGACCTCCATATACCCTGGACGACCAGCTGGTCTCTGAAGATCTGGCAGTGGGATCTGGAATTGAGGATGCAGCGCTTTCGAGAATGGTGTGGCCGATGACAGTCGCTTCAGCAATACCCCTCTGTGTTCAAAGCACCTACCCCAACATCTACCTGACGACTTGCAGAGCATGATCCTGACCCTGGCGCAAGTGCACCGTTCCTATGTTGCAAGAGATCTCGAAAGCTTCAAAAACTCCGCAAACATTTCAGACACCCGAAACCTACCGGAAAGATTCAATTACACTTAGGCAAAGGCACAAGAAATGGATACTACCGCTTTGCTAAGCGCACCGTTACCATGAAACATCATGGAACGCTTTTCTGACTCGCGATGTCGCTATTTCTACCGTACGGCTGACTCAGCAGCTCGGCAAAGCCTTGTCAAATCCGGCATGTACCCAAGTGGTTACATTTTTCACCAACACCTTCTGCGAGAACTACATAAAGCTGCAAAAAAGAGCCCTGACATCTACAATCTAGCTCTCTGATTGCTTGCACATACCTACACCGTATATGTGCATGTGTATATATATATATATGTATATATACATATATATATATACACACACACATACATATATGCACACCGTTATGCTTCACATGCGTCGCACACCATGCACATGCAAGCCCTTTCTAGCCTTTCCTTGCATGTAAATGCACCACATTGACAACCAGTTCGTCAAACCTGGCTATTGTTTCTTGGAGTCCCTCTTTGATGTGCTTTGTTCTGTACACATGTATCTATCATGAAGTGATGTATCGAACCACGTCTCTGCTGTGCAACCCGGTCGAAAACGGTCCGCTCCAGTCTGCCTTACTCTAATATATATTTATATTGGTATTTATATTATGCTTATTTCTTATATTTATATTGTATGTCTTTGCATACAGATGCGGGTATGCATTCATGTATGTATATACTTATGCATAAATATTCACCGCATGCAAGCCAGATGAGCGGTTCGATTGTTTTCAATGGACTCCTCAAGACCCACTCTCAGTACATGCTGGGCTGGAAGCTCAAACTGTCCCTTGACGGGTGCAGCGGCTGTCTTTGACAGGCGCTGACACCACAAGGCTTTAGGCTTTAATCGCTCTTGTGGGCACGGGGCATCTCGAAGCTGGGCTCTTCCTTCTTGCTTCCGGGGCCCTTCACAGCCGGAAGCCCTAGAACCCCGACGAAGAGAAATAGGAGCATGAAGAATAGAGCTGGAACCCGGAAGGTTTAATACAAAACCGCACAGTGTGTAGGCTTACTTGGGCGCACGCAGGCCTTTATACAAATTCGGCAGCTCGAGGTTCATGAATAATGATCCAGATTTCAGGGGCTTGCTGTTCTTGGCTCCTGGGATTGTAAGCTTTAGGCCTGGACTGCGCAGGCAGTTAGATTGTCCTTACGGGGAGGCACCCACTTGTTGGGTCAGGAGGCCCTGTATAACTGTATAACTAACACCATGAGAAAGAAAGGACTCAGAATTCGTAGCAAACCTGCACACAGTCCGCAGTTTGGGGTCCAGGGCCAGCCCTCCGGCCAAGATCCTTTCAGCCACTACATGACTTTCCATCTCAGCCGCCCCCCACACGGCCAGGAAGGTCTGCAAATGACCCAGCACCCTGGAAAAGCACTGAGGCTTACACTCGGCGTCGGGTCTCGAAAGGGGATTGAGGGCATACATGTCTGTATCATATGATTATATCTATTCGTGCCACGGTCAGCTCTACTATGACACCCAAAAGGCATCACTTCAGCTCTAGCAATGACAGCAGCTCATATGGTCTTTGGGGATTTTTGGATTGCTGGCGGGCTCAGAACAAGGCCGAGATCTGCAGTTTTTAACTGGAGCAGCGGGACGTCAGCTAGGTTTGGTTCCCGGATCGCGATTTCAGGGCGCCACATCAGCAGATCAAAGACCTCGAGAATTAAGCTCTAGTAAATTTACCATGGGAAGCCATTCCACGTCTTGGCCTGAATGGCATGTACCTAAACCTTGCTACCTACAAACCCGCGCACCTTGATACATAGTTCCTAAATCCTGCAGCTGCTAAACCCCCTGAATCTTTTGGCCTTTGGAGCTTCGAAGCTAGATCCCCAAAGCAAGCCCTGAAACCTGCCTCAGCCTCAACCCCGGAGTTTTACAGGAAACATGAGAGCACCTCGCATAGAGTCGACGTCCCCAGACCCGACCACGCAAACAGCCTCAGCGATGGCGCCAAGACGTTCACCCGGAGATTTCAGCTGCATCTCGTCGCACACCTCTGTCCGAAACAGCAAGCTCTGTAGGGACTTGGAGATACCACTCTGCTGTCTATATACATGTGCAGACATACATACATACATACATACATACCTACATACCTACATACCTACATACCTACATACATACATATACACATCATATGTATGTGTATGTGTAGAAAAACACACATGTACGCCTGCATGAAAAAAACGCATGTGCAGGTATGCGCACAGCATTTGCAGTCTTGTCTACAAGCTTTCAGGCCTTTCGCGGAGTAAGCGCCAACGTTTGAAGTTACTTCAAAGCCTTCTTAGCTTCCGGCCTCGAGGTAAATGTCTCGACTTCAGGGTTCTGCCTCCTTACGGCGGGCCTTCTACAAGGCTGTCTGCTCAGGCCTCGCGACGTGATTTTGACAAGGGTTCTACCTGCCTTTTAGACTTCGTATCTAAATCGCTTGCATCAACTTGGGGGTCAATCCCAGGAAGCCATCAAGAAACAAATGCCACGGAAGATCCTGTGCCACAAGCGTATCATTCATGATACCAATACTAGCTATTTACCACTGTATTACTTTTTGCTCCTGTTCATCATCGTCATGAACTCCAATTATCGGTGGCATGCGCACAGCAACACTTCGGTGCCCTCAACCCCTGAAGCCCAGGTCCTGAAACATGACCGTCTGACCTTTGAACCCGAAGCCCACGTTGCAGGCATGGCGCAGGTCGCCTCACCACTCCAAGGGGTTCATGGAAGCTGACTGAAACTTGTAAGTTAGACAGCGGTTTGAGCATGCAGAGTGCTTGTTGTGCACGACGGCATAGACTGCAAAGTAGCCCTTTTGCAAGCAGCTTCCCGGCATGGGCACCAGTGATTCTGGGTTCTGCGGACCCAAACTGTTTAAGTACGATCTGCGAACACGACACCCTGCAAAGGCTGGAGGTTCGGGTTCAAGAGTTCCGCAAAGGTCGCTTCCGGAACGGGGACCGGACTTTTCACTAGCTGCTCGACTCAAAGGGTCGAAGGGCGCAGGGGCAAAGATGTCCGGCCCTTCAAAGAGACGACCTGTCGTAGAACAGAGAAGATACGGGAAGGCCCTCAGTAAATACTGCCTGTCTTGGATGAACCGATCAAACAGAAACTGTACTTTCTCTGACTAGCACAATGACCATCGTTCATCAATCAAGCAGCACATGCCACGCGCTAAACTCAACAGCCGTCAAAATCTTAGCATCTGACGGCAGACTGTGTACTTAGGCCCACTCAGGCTTGATTACGTATGTTTGCGCGGAACTTCATCTTCGAAAATCCTTCGGCTACAGACGACATCCAAAAAGAACCCACCCCAAATCACACCATCCTCCAAATCTCTCCGAGGCCAAGGTTCCAGATCGTGAGCGACCGGCGAAGCGGGTACTTCGTCAGCGGCGGGTGCGAACGCTTCCTCCCAGTCCATTCGGCGCTGGAGGCTTCAGGACTCCCCGAAAATACAGATTTTGGGGATCGTGAACGAACTTCGGCTTGTTCGAACCTCAAAGTCTGTGGCACAGGACATCGAGCTTTGCAGTTTCACTTCTACCGCCGGCGAGCTGTTGAAATTTTGGGCCTGAGCATGTATCCAACGACCGGTGCGCAATGGAAGCCCATGTTGCTGTAATCTTCAAGAGTACCGGTCGGCACCAAACAAACAACACTCGCACACCTCGTGGTATAGATTATGTTATACTATACATGTACATGAACATATATATATGTATTTATTTAACATACATATATATATGTGTGTGTACACTATAGATACACAACAAAAGTGTCTGTCTATGTGTGTATGTGTATATATACATATTATAACACATATATATATGTGTGTGTATATACATAGGTATGTACCTATCTATATATCTAGATATCTATATATCTATATACCTGTATACATATATATCTATATATCTATATAGCTATATATCTATATATCTATATATCTATATATCTATATATCTATATATCTATATATGTATATATGTATATATGTATATATTTATATAT